CTGACTAAATACTTTTTTGCCCCACTGTATACACATACACACACATTTATGTTAGAGAATTTATTTATTTTTATTCATCAAAACATCCTGATTTTTGTGGTTTCCACAAAAATAATAGACAAGAAAAAAAAAATTCAATATTGATAAGAAGCGATATTAATAACCAGTACCAATTACTGATAATAAATGAGCATCAAATAAGCATATTAGAGATTATATTATTTCTGAAGGATCAAGTCACACTGAAGACTGAAGTAATGGCTGTTCAAAATTCACAGGACTAAATTACATTTCAAATATATTAAAACTGTGATTTTAAATTGTATTAATATTTTACAATATTTCTGTTTTTACAGCATTCTTTTGTAGATAAATACAGCTTTGGTGAGCATATGAGACTTCTGTTAAAAAATCTTATTCCTAACTTTTGACTGGTAGTGTATATAATTTGCAACATGTAAAATTTGTTCTGCTGAAATATCGAGAGGCGGCTTTAATAAGAACTATTCTATGGTTTACTTTCTCACCTAAAAACACGACACCCAGAACAACATACCAACTTCAGTTACCCACAAATGTAATTACCAATTCTGTATTTTACTGTTTCGGTTTTTGGCTAAATGAAAACCTTCAACTTAGATGCTTTGTGGACCAAATTTATTTTGGTGCATCACTAACCAACTGCATTTTCGCGCTCTCTCAAGGTCTGGTCCACGTACAGCTTGGTCTTCTTGGGCACATTCAGACGAATGCTCTGGGCTATTGGAGGTCCAGGGGCCGAGTCCCTGTCATCAAACACAGCCATCCTCTTGAGGATCTTCACAATCAAACCGCCTCCTGGATCACACACAGTTTAAGACATCTGAAATGCTTTATGTTCAGCATTATAGTTGCCCTGAACTGCTTAAACTACCACATAACATGCTTTTTCTACCTTTGGTGGTCATTATGAGTGTGCCGTCTTCCCGTCCATAACGTCCGAAACAAATACTTGTCACTACGTCCTGTAAGACATAAATGAAAATCTCTGATGATGATTACGATAACATCCTGGAAGTAAAATCAGAGCTGCAGGAACTTCAACTCAGATATGATTCCGAATGTCACTGGGTTTTGAATTCAAGATGGTTCTTACTGGTGTCTTGATGGTGCTGACGAGATTTTTGTCTCTGTACATGTGTACTTCACAGTTGGCCAGACCCACCAGCACAGCCTGGAAACCTCGTGTGGGAAGGTCCATCAGCGCCATGGTGGTAACGGGGGCTGGCAGATAAGCGGTCCACAGCTTTTTCCCCTACAGGAGATTCCATATGAGAATTAGCATTATCATTTCTGGAGGCATTATTGTTAGTGTGACAGATATGGATTCAATTATCATACCTTCTGGGTGTAACCGTGCAGTGTCTCATGAGTGCATCCTATAACTACATTCTTTCCCATCCTCACCAGTGCCACTGGGTGAGAGGACAGCTCAATGCAGTACTTAGGCTTTGGGGAATCCCTTTAACACACAAAAATTGGCACAAATTAAGGGGCATTTTTCGTTCTATTGACTTCCATTTATATGTATGCAAATGCTGGATACGAGAAATGCAAGCTCATGCAAAAACGTTTCGCATTTCACTGCATTCCAAAGTTCAATTTGTTCAAATTTGAAAGACATCTGACCAATAGATTAAGTCACAGAGTGACCTATTAGCTGAATT